GAAGCCTTCACCCAGCACCTCACCCAGCTGAGCAGGGAAGCCTTCCTATAAGAGGTGACATCTGCATTTTCTGCTACCCAAACATGTACTTTCTCCCCCTTCTTGCTACTACTCCTAACCAGCACTATGAAAAAGAGACCAAGGGACTAAAAATTTATACTGGATCGTAAGTTTTTGAAATTCCTGAAACACTTACTTGCTCTTTTTCAAACTGGATAATTTTCCTGAAAAATTCGACTGAAAATGGACGAATTTCCTGTAAACTAAAAAGAAGCAGAGGATGTTATCTTCCACAGTGAGAAATTCTATTGCATCTCAAAGAATAACACTCAGGCCATTGCTTCCACGGTAGATGGCTTAACAAGAAGTAGTGCTTCAGTGCAAGGTCTAGACCTACGCCAGTCACACCTATGACTGGCCCTTCCCCACAAAGCCTTCTCCTTCTCACCGTTCTGTCTTCTTTGTCACATTGAGGGTCTTAAGTAACACCACTTACATCTCAAAGCTTTTTTGGAGACCGGTCACCTTTTAAACAAATTTTTTTTAATGTATTTGGTTACAGGGTCTCACTATGTAGCTCAGGATCATAGTAATTCTCCTGCTTTCAGCCTCCCCAGCTCTGGAATTACAGGCATGTGAACCCCGGGGGCAGGGCTGGCATGAACGCAGGAGTGTACCTGGGGGCGGGGCTGGCATGCATGGGAGACCAGGGTTCGAACCCTGGTCCGTGTGCTTGCCAAAGCAGGCACTTAATCTGCTGAGCTACTTCACCAGTCCTTAGACAATAATTTTTAATAAATGACACTTAGACTTTACTGAAATGAGAAAAGGTCAATCTAATATTCTTCAGTAAAAATGAGGGTCAGGGAGATGGCTCAGTGGAGTAAGCACTTCCCTGGCAAGCAGAAGGGCCTGAGTTCAATCCCCGGTTCCACAAAAAAAAAAAAAAAAAAAAAAAAAAAAAAAATACAAAATTGTGATTACAGTATAATTACATATGAAATAAATTTTAAGATGCTATATTTTGAAGAGGTTTTATCTTACTGGGACTACAATGAATTATTTATCTTTCCCTCTTCAATGGTTATAACCTTTTATTGCTCAGAAAGAAAAGGAGAATGGAAGAAGAGGAGAAGGGAGAGGAAGGGAAAAGGGGCAGAGAGGGAGGGGGGAAGGGAAAGGAAATATCACTTTTTGAAAAACATTCTCAGATTACTACTTTTTCAGACACAATCTGCAATACACATACTCTGGGTCCAAGGGAGTGACTGTGTATGGACCAGAAAGATTACAAACAGCTATGAAAATCTGTCAGTACCTCTTAAACACAGCCCTGGCCTTCTTGTAGCCACCACTTCGGTAAGCCCAGTCCAGGTATTTCTCTTTCAGAGTTACTGAGTTGGGACCTGTGACAGCTAAAATAGCTTTCTACAATTAAAAAATAAAAAACAAAAACAAAAAAAAGCCACGTAAGGTAATGCTTTCATATCAAAACAAATTCTCCCAGAAGTACCCCAGGCTACTCAAGAGGGCTTTAGGAACACCAGCTGCTGAAATTAGTAAACCCATGAGCATGCACCCATTCCTCATACAGGACTTAGAACATGGAGCCTGTACCTTAAAGACAGCTTCAGTGTCTTCTTGGCTTTCAGCACCCTCACTCCACTCTGCCCAAGAAATCCACAAGGGCAGACAAACCTGCTCACGATAAAAAATGTTATAAAATGACTGTTGGGCACTAAACTCTGAAAAACTGATCACTACAAAGACAGAGTCCTCCTAAATTAATCAATACGTAAATATAAACTGATCATTCATCTACCCTAAATACGAGAGAATTCCCATTGCCTGGCAGGAATGGCATGTCACAGCAGACAGCCCTCTAGCCAAGTCCTCCCAAGCAACACGGTCCTGACCGCTAAAGCTCCCTGCTGCTGGGGTACCCTGCCCTCATCATCAGCGATGGCAAACCTTCCAGGGCTTTCCATAACAAACAGCCCACTGGGGCATGCATTCCATATTCGCCACCACTGGATATCGTCATCAATAACCTTTCAGTTAATTATAAGCAATTAATAATCAGATCCACAGCTACCCAGATTCTGTTGCTACTGTCCAGAACACTTAATACAAGAACAACAACAACAA